TTTCATCAGGGTCTGGTAGCAGTTGACCACAGCCTGCTGGGGCTGGCTGGGGAGGCCTGAAGGAAGGAGCTGAGCCCATGACAGCGGCACCTTGAAGTGAGTCACTCCTCGGCTCTGGAGGTACTCAAAGTACTGCGCAGAACCAGGAGGTATGGGATGACTGCAGTCAAAGGTGTCCTTGTCAGATGTTTCTCCGTTGAGGCCCATCACCTGTTCGGTGGTCATGGGGCCGGCAAGAAACATGGCCTCAAGTTGATGGTCATGTTTGTGGCTCAAGCAGCCATATACAGCTAGCAGACACAGAGGAAGAACTTTCCTCAAGAGAGACATCTTGTCCACTGAATGAGCCCCTGCATGGTTAACCTTTTATAGTTATCCCATTCATGACCTTGAACTTATAGACCATAGTTTCATAACTGTCACTAATATTGTGGGTGGCAGAGTCACGCTGCTGAGATGCTTTATGATGCCTTTGGCAAGGCAGGCTAAGTGGCCCTGATAAAGGGTCAGTAAAAGGGCAGGACCAATTTATTATGAAACGTAGTAAATATTTTTATAGAGGTTAAATAAGAAACTGATTCACACAGTGGAAAATGTCATTTCCATGTCAGATTTTCAGCTGGTTGTTGTGTGTTATATTTGTGTGTTCAGCTGGAAGTGATCAAACAATAAAGCTTAAGATGTGTATGAAACATACTTTGTTGTGTGCTGAGTCAGACTTTGGTTTCTTGGGTTATGATTACTCAACAGTTTTTTTGTGTGTGTTGTACGTCATGTGTACGAGGCATCAGTGACGAGGGTATTTTGTCTCATGTAACTGCAACACAAATGTCAGTATTGCAGCATTTAAAATGTCATGATTTATTTATTTCCCTGTTAAACTAATGAGGGGAAATCAGGATCAATCAAGGTGTGATCAATCGAGTCATTTTAGGGTCTTTTCCAATTTGCATGCTTCAGTCAGTCCCTCCATCATGTGAATTGTATTTCCAGGTAAGGAAAACAACTGCTTTGGTCACTTTTTTTTTTTTTCACCGCCCAAACTGAGAGGTCACTGATTCCCACATGATGATTCACACAGTGCAAATTTTAATTCCAATGTCAGATTTTCAGCTGGTTGTTGTGTGTTATATTTGTGTGTTCAGCTGGAAGTCATCAAACAATAAAGCTGTAGAAGTGTACGAAACATATTTTGTTGTGTGCTGAATCAGACTTTGGTTATATTGTGTCATTTGGTTATCTTTATCTTATTAGAGATTTGATTTGCTATATTTTTCCAAAGCAGTATCAAGAGGCTGATAATAGTTTATGATGGACACCGTTCCAGCCGTCACGTACTTGAGTTGGTCCGAAAATAATGAGAATAATATACCTGGTAAATAAAGCTGCAGTGAAGTACTCGGTTGTGATTCAATCTCACACATTAAGGCTGTCATTATAGGTTGAAGTGTAGAAGAAATTTTTAAAGGTTCCACGTAGATCCCTGATTCCTAAACAAATGTAAAATAGAGAAAAACTGTCACTATTTTTAACTGTTCATTGCTACTAAAATGTATTTCCTATACTTGCAGATGCAAATCTATACATCTGCCATATTCTCCTTGCTAATACTTAAAAAACAGTACCAAAAATGGAGACCAGTAAGATCAAACACTTTCCAAGAGAGAGAAGTTGCTTCCCGATTGTGAAACTGTTATTCTGTGTCTGAACTTGAAGTAGCATCAATATGCCACCACTATATTCCGTTGATAAAACAAATCACTTGCAATCAGTTGCAAATAGACACCCTGTGACATCCTGTATACATCTGGCCGGCCTTGTTAAAAAATGGCCTCTCGACAGAATGCGTCGCCTGCCTGGGCCTACTACATTCGCCAAGGTGCAGATAAAGCTAAGTGCAACAAATGTTCTAAGATCTTGTCGATGGCCAGGGGCTCAACAGGAGGGCTCATGAAGCATCGGAGTTTGGTTCATGGTGTGGACATAAAGTGATCAAGCGAGGGGCACAAAGCATCAACCTCACAAGATTCGAAACCCACAATGAAGCACCAGGCGTTGATGGAGTCATTCATCCAAGGGTAGAAACAATCATTGTCGGACGTTTTGGCAGAGCTCGCATCTCTTGATGGATTTTCAATGTACACAATTTGCAACAGTGACGACATCAGAAAGCCACCTTGTCGAGTTGGGCACAATCTGTCACAGAACCCCTCAAGTGTCAGGATCCTCATCGCGAAATATGTCAGTAAAATAAGAGATGACAGAAGAATTCAGGAAAAGAATAGAGAGTGGAGAATGTTTCTCTCTTACCCTAGATGAGTGGACTAGTCAACAAAACCAGTGCTACCTCAATGTTAATCTTCGTGGAAAGGGTGAAGACTTCTGGAATTTGGGACTGTCTTCTGTCACCTCAGAGAAAATGGTAACAGCAGTCAAGAACTGCTAGTCAGAATTTAACACAGAACTGCAAAGTCATTGCTAAATAGCAACGGTAGATGGCGCCAGTGTATTGCTAAAATCTGGTCGACTGATGCCTATGTAAGCAATGACTTGCTACAGTCACGGCATTCATCTTGCAGTGAGTGTCATTTTGTAAAAGGAAACAACAGCTGAAATCTCAGAACTCAAAGTTGAAACTGATGAAATGGATCAAACAATGATGGAAGATGCAGAAAACGACAAAACCGTTCATGGTCTTGCTCATGCTCTTTTGAACAAGTAGATCTACTATCTGTTTTATTTATGAATTAATGTCTCTGCGCTATTTATTGTTTCATTGTTTTACTGCTGACTCCATAACAAATTACCCCACATGGATAATAAAGACTCCTTTAACCTTGAACCTTGAACCATGATATGTTGACAGAAGATGGTGAACTTCGACTAAATGCCAACTATACAGACCGGTTGGGGAAGGTTTGAAAGGACTGCGAGAAGTTCAGGAGAGCTCTGGTAAATGAAAAACTGCAAGAATCCGTGACACAGGGATTTAAGAAAGAACCCAAACTAAAGTTACACATAGAAGTTCATTGGAACAGCATTGAGGAAAGGTTTTCCAGGTATATTCAACTGTGACCCTGTATCGAGAAAGCATTTGTCTATTTGAACTTGAAATCCAACGTGTCAGACGATGAGTTCCAGCAGGTGAAAACAATTTGCCATTGCCCTGAAATCAGTGACATTTGCAAACGAAACTCTCTGTCGACAGGATGCAATGCTCATTTCCGCAGAAGGAATCCTGAAGTTCCTGTTTGCACAGCTTGCAAAACAGAAGAACCACTTCAGCTGAAAAGTCTCCAACCGACTTAGGGAGCGAATAAAGCAGAGATAAGACCCTGATTTTTCTTTTACTGTACTTGCATGACCCACACATACAAAACGATTCTGAAGATGAATTATTCTGCCTGTCACTCAGAGTTACAATGCTCTGACTTGTGAAAAAATATACAGACGAAAGTGCACAAAGAAAGACAGCTGCAGAAGCTTTGACAGGGACGCCCAATATCAATGCAGATCTCAAACTTGTTGATGCCAACAAGAAACGCACTCCCAATTTGGAATTCCTATATCAGGCACTGCTAGCTGCACCGCCGACCTCAGTTGAATCAGAGCGAAGCTTCTTCGCTGCTGGAATTTTGTGACCAAAATTCGATCAAGACTTGGGGATAAGGCTTTGAATGACCTATATTCCTCAAGAACTAATTCCAGGCAAGGAAGAACAAGAGAAAGAAGAACCATTGTGCTTTGTAGGTAGTATAGCATACGTTGTAACTAAATAGACCAAAGACATGTTTTATTGGAGTTCTTTTTCCTGAAGTGCCTGCATTTCCACTGTTGTCCTTGTGTTCTGCAAATACCAAATTAAGACAAGTTTTGAATAAAGAAATGTATTTATCTATGAGTACTTGTTCGTCGGTCTTCACTCTTATTATACTTTACCATTCCATAAAGGTCATGTGCGCAGCTGACTCCAAAATTCCTGCCGTTTTCCAACAAATTCTATGCTGTTGTGAAGTTTGGTAAGTTCCCGGTTATAGGTTACAATTTTTTTTACCCACTTCCTGAACATACTAAACCCTAAATGCAACTGCACATTTCCTAGTCTTCAAACAAAAGGTCAAGATAGGGTTACAGTTGTTATTACGTGAGTCCAGAGTCTTTCTGACCATATCACAGATCCGCAATAAAACACTGTAACTCATGTAAGTAATCATCTGTCATTGCAACATGATTTATATGTGACATAAATCATTCTTACGTAACAATGGAATAAGAAGAAATCAGAAAATCTTTCAACACCCTAGCTATTAGTGGATAACTGAAGGCACAATAAAGATGCTGCAAATATTAGATCCTCTTTGATGCGGTGCCTAAAGATAAGGGTTACATATGTCAACAACACCACACTGACAATGAACCTGACTGTTGCTGTCATATATTCCAAACAAATACCAGCACATGTAATTTTCCTTTGTGGAAAAAGGAAGTGCATCATTGACCTCAGAAGCTTTCCATTGGATTGTTCCATCTCAAGTCATCAGGGGCCTTCTGCTCGATCATCTCGGATTTGCTTAAAACTGTTTTTGTTTTTTTACTTTTTTAAATCAAACTATGGATGTTTAAAATGGTATCAGTGAAATAGTTGATTGATATATCAAGTCCTTTCCACAGGGATTTTTTTACAAGCTCGACAGTTGACCCGCTTTCAGCACATCTCTTCTTTTGAGCCATTCCTTCGTGGATTTACTTGTGTTTCTGATCATTATACAGGACACCTCTTATCAGTTTCTTGCTCCAGTTTCCAGTCCTGCTTTATTTCATGTAGGAATCTATAAAATGGGATTTGCAAAGAAGTAATGCAACATTTAGCCGATATGGCACCACATGGCACAAAACAAAGAAATTGATTCTATCATGGACAATATTTGCAATAATGATCTCCTTAGTAACATAGATGAACAAAAGTCACTTAGAAAGAGCATATGTATCATGGCAGTCTTGAGTTCCCAATTACTCCTGTGACTCTGAATTTTCAGCGATGGACTCATTAAAACCCATGTGGATTTGTCACAAAAAAATAAATAAAAATAAAATACAATCATGCATTTAGGTTATTTTCTAGATTTATTAAACATCCTCTGGAAATATGACAAAATTCGCCAGCTAGGACCACACCATCAAACGACTGAACATCAAACAACAAAGTTTTCATAAGATTTCTTTATTTCTTAAATTTCTTATTGCTACTATCGCTGTTTTACTCTCGTGTCATTATTAGCTTTTTAGTCATCTGTAAAGCTATGATTCCAACTGAGTGACTGTATATGTAAATTCTGACACATTATTATTACAGCTCAAATCCTAAGGGGTCCTTTGCTCGGCCATGTCTGATTTACTCGAAACTTTATGATTAAATTAGTTATTTTAAATAGTATTGGTGAAATCTAGAGCATTATATCACATAATTTCCAAGATGAAACTGTCTAAAAATTGCTCGTGGACCTACTTTCAGTACATTTTTTAGCACATGTAAATTTGAAGCTATGTTTGAAAAGTCAGTATCTTATGAAAAAGCAAGGCCACAGCTGCACCATATGCATCACATCTAACAGGAGCATCAATATCAGCCCAATAAAATGACAAAAATATATATTTTACTCACCGTAACGTGATGATCTGAACACAAACTCAATCCTCACTCCTTTCTTTCATCATAAACAGTTCAATCACTCTGTTGAGCAGCTAATCCGTGTGTTTCACTTCCAACATTAGTCCTGTTTCATCGCCATGGAGACTAATGCTGAAAGTCAGGTCTGTCCAGTTGTGTTTCTGGCATAAGTTTAAATTCGCTTTAAGGCTGAGAATGTCCGCTTGCTTAACTTAAAAAAAACAAACAAACAAACAAACAAAAACCCCAATACTTTCACAATAAAGTTTTAGCTTGTGCAGTTCGCTACAGATACCAAACGCTAGCTTTGGCTAAGCTCTCTGACCATCCAATCAGAGGATGTGAATGTGATGGTGTCATCGTAGGCCAGATAGCTGGCCCTGGGATCCCCAACTCTAAATCTGATTGGTTAAAGCCACTGTTTCATTGCAATGCATTTTAAGCTACCTGTGCCTGCACTTTTGATTCTGAAGGCCTCAGGGCAGATTTCTGTGACCCTGGCAACACATGATGTCTGAAATATGATTGGATAAAAAAAAAAGAAGCTCTAATATAAATATACACTGCTGGAAGCACCACAGCCCAGAGACACGCTATTAAATGAATAGAACAGACTATTGGGAATAATGTAAAAGATTAATGGGAAAATATTACAACGCAAGTCAGTGATTTTGATAGAGTTTATGCCAGCAGAGAAGGCCTTGCTGGCCCTGATGGCCCACCACTGTGATGATTATTATTGTTATTATTGTTATGTGCCCAACTTTTTCATGTTCCCCAGCACGAATTTCAAACCAATACATTTCAATTGGAATTATCTTTTGTGTCTGGGACACGTTTTTTCACTATCAGACAGCACATATACTGTGATGTTTTTGTCGTTCTTTTCTTCCGACAGTCAGGCATTAACCATTTTTACTATTATGGCTCGTCCACACTAATAACTATAGAGATCACTATGCAGATGTGTGCGGCCACACTGACCAAGGTTAGTGTAGTCTGAGAAGAAGGACACATGCAGGAAACGGCGACCGGAAGATGTACTGTGATTGTAGCGAGTGTAAAGTGTAAAAGAGTACATGTGTGGCATTTTTTGTGTTTTTATTACACTGGTAGTGGTTGGGGGAAATTTGCGCTCGTTGCCTTGCCGTCTTCTGGGTCTCCGGCGAGGCTACGCCCGGACGCTAACAGGGTTGCCTTAGCAACGAGCGCAAATTTCCCCCAAACACACTTCATGTTTGAAATTCACGCTGGGGAACAAGAAAAAGTTAGGCACGAAACAATAAATAAAAAAGTTTCCGGAAAAAAAAGGACGACCTGTAATTCAAGGAGAGTGACCTTAATCTCATATTTAGAAGCCTGTTCACATGTTTCTAAGTTTCCATCACACACCTCTGCCTTTATGGTTATGAAAGCTCTCTGATGGGCCACATAGCTTTTGTGCCACTACAAGCTTGTCTTCAATGATTTGCTGGTGCAGGTTTGTGTGTTTGTGTTATATACATATATAAGGATGGACTGATACCTCTTTTTGCTTTCCAATACCGATACAGATACTTCAACTTTGAGTATCTGCCGAAACTGATATCATCTCTCCTCCTAAACTTCTTTGGAAAAACCTTATTTGCATGGATACATTTGTTTAAGATGGCTTTATCAAAAGCCTCATACTATAAAAG